GGGGCGATTTAGTTTTAACGCATTTTATTTGCAAAATTAGCAAAAGGGTTGGAAACAAACTGAAACAACATTAGTGACGTCATCTCCATGTACAGATATAAACACAAAAACTCTGTACCTAGAAGTTTTTGTCGTGTAAAATGGGTGGGTTAACTCACAAACTGATATGTAAGTTTATTAGTCAGCGAACCAGTTTACACACCAAAAAATCTCCAGAAAAAAAATGTGTCTAATCCTCATATTTCTTGACCGATATAGTTTTATTCCTTCTTTTTCATTTAAAGTCTTTTTAGACCGGCGAATATCATTAGTGTTTATCGCGCATGGATACATTTTACACAGAGACAACGAAAGTAGTTTCGCCAAGTTACATGGTTTATCGAAGTGTAAACCTAGGAAAGAAATTCTAACAGACCAATCACATTTATTGATATGCTAATAATATAACAATTATTTAATAATGACGAAAACATAATAGGAGTGCATATAAGTCAAAAACAAACACAAGATATAAAGAGGAAGAAAACAGAATATAAGTGCACAAGTAGATAAGGCTAGCCTGGAGTGAAGTGAAGTGAGAGCAATAAATCATGGTTTAGTGTTTGAAGAATGTGTGCAATGAGTCCGCAAGCGTAACAAAATGGACGACATGGCCTAAAATATAACACAAGGGTAACATACAAGTTTTTTTTCTTTTATCTTGAAAACCGCTATAGAAAGAGAATTGTTTGGAATCACAAAATTTAAGTACTGTCTATTTACATCAAAATTGTAAGATGACTATTTATAGGAATAATTTTCCTTGATTGACGTTTCTTTTTTATTTTGTGTTTTGTCTATTTTTTTGAAAATTATAATAGATAGAGAGAATCTTTCAATCAATTATTATAGCGAAAATGATCAATGAGAAAGCAAAGATCTACAAATAATTCCACATGATTGAAAGCGGCAATTGACCCTTTTTTACCCAAGTATGTTCTATTTTTGGCCAAGTTGGCCATGTTGTTCCGCAGGCGGGCTCATCGCACATATTCTTTATAGTAGATACCCTTATTTATTTCTCTCACTTCACTACACTCCAGGCTTACCTTATCTTATATATACTTTTGCACATTATATTCCATTTTCTTCTTCCTATATCTGTTGTTTGTTTTTGAATTGCATGCACTCCTATTTTGTTTTCGTCATTATCAAACAATTCTTAAATTAATAGCATATCAACAAAAACTTGAATATGATTAGTCTGTTCGATTTTCTTTCCTGGGTTTTACACTTCGATAAACCATGTCGCCAAAACTACTTCTGTTGCCTCTGTGTAAAATATATTCATGGGCGATACACACGAAGGAAATCGCCGGTCTAAAAATACTTTAAATAAAAAATAATGAATAAAAATGTATCGGTTACGAATTATGAGTATTAAACACATTTTGTATGCCCCGCCGCTAGGCGATGGAGGCATTGAGTCTAGTCCTTGTCTGTCAGTCCAGCCCCTCCGTCGCGTACGTTCCCAAAATAGGTTCCCGTCCTCTAACTTTAGTTTGCCTCAACCAAATGTTATAAAACTTATACACTATGCTTATTACCACAAAACTCAGATCAAATTTGAAATTGAATGGCGTCACTTTTACCGTTCTTGAGTTATGCCCCTTTACAAATAGACAAAGTGCTAAATCTGTCGTTTCCGTTCTCTACATTTAGTTTGCCTCAACCAAATGTTATTAAACTACTACACAATGTTTATTACTTCAAAACACAGATCAAGTTTGAAATTGGGTGGCATCACTTTTACCGTTCTTGAGCTATGCCCCTTTACAAAAACAAAAAACAAACAATATCCCTAATTAAGTGTCCAATCCCTTTTTCTAAATTTGCAAATAAAATGCGTTAAAACTAAATTGAATGAAGGCAAGTTTGTTTCACTTTGGCAAAAAGGTTTAAAAAAAGAAGATTTTTGTAAAATTTAATGAACAGCGACGGGCGCAAAGTGAGGAGAAAATCTCACTTAACCCTATGGGTCAGGTGAGCTAAAAATCTGTGATAATGAATCTTAATCCGAAATCACAAATTACAAAAAAAACTGTGATAAAAAATTCCACAAATTCGTTATCACGAATATAATCCGTTATAACAAATAATGCGATTCGTTACAACGATTTTAATTCGTTATCACAAATTACAAAAAAATGTGATAACGAATTTAATTCGTAATTACGAATTATAAAATCTGTTATAACGATTTCCACCAATTCATTATCACAAATTTAATCTGTTATAACAAATTATACAATGATAACGATTAGAATCCGTGATTTCGAATTCAAATTATATTTTAGGAAGGTCCTAAATGGGCTAATTGGTCAGTCAGAAATTTTTACTCGGTTCCTGGTTTTCGAAACTTATTATACTAATATATGTAAACATTATGTCGATGGCTTCCGTAAAACTTCATCACTATGATATATCCACTTGGAATATACATGAATGGAATTCTGGAGGTATGTCCAGTGCACGATGTAGTGACGATATCGCCGATATTGTCAACTTCGTTCATGATTTATACCTGCTCGCAACATTGTATTACTTGTTGTCTTACTTGTTGTCTACATCGTTGATATCGCCGACATCGTTCTTCTTGCTGTGTACATCGCCCCCTTTCCTGTCTACATCGTTGACATTGTCAACACCGTGACGACATCGTCTACATCGTCCCCCTTTCCTGTCTTCATCGTTGACATCGCCGACATCGTGATGTTGACAACATAGTGACGACATCGCCTACATCGTCCCCCTTTCCTGTCTACATCGTTGACATCGCCGACATCGTGATGTTGACAACATCGTGACGACATCGTCTACATCGTTTTTCTTGCTGTCTTCATTATTGACATCGCCGATATCGCGATGTTAACAATATCATGACGACATCGTCTACATCGTCCCCCTTTCCTGTCTACATCGGTGACATCGCCTACATCGTTTTTTTAAAATAAAGAAGTGTTTAGTTTATCAATTTCAATTTCAAATAATGTATTTATATTACGCCTGTGTCGATGTTCTCAATAGTAGAACTTATTTGGACATTTTTTTAATGTTTGCAAATCTCTATCCTCCTCCTCCTCCTCCTCCTCCACCTCCTCCTCAACAGTGTTTTGACATTGTCTTTTTCGCGATGTCGGCAATGCCAACCATGCAGAGACAAGATGATGAAAGGATATCGACAAAGTAGTACAACACAATGTCGACATCGTTGTATTCAAAATTAACAATGTAAACACGAGTAATGTGTTAGCGATATCGGCAGTGTCAACCATGTAGACAAGAGTATGAAACGATATCGACAACGTTGTACAACATCGTGTCGACATTGTCTACTTCGCGATATCGTCAATGTCAACGATGTAGATTAGAGTATGAAACGATATCGACAACGTTGTACAATATTGTGGCGACATTGCCTACTTTGCGATGTCGACAATATCGGTACTACTTTGTACACTGGACATGAATGTTGAAATTGACAGAAAAAAGTAACACATGGTTGGGTTGAGAATTATAAGAATTAAATACATTTTTTCTAGAGGTTTTCATGTTTAAATTGGACCTCTGACTCACAAACTTTACATAAATGTCATTCTCAGTTTTATTCTGTTTTCAAGTTAATCGGTCCAGTTTTAACAAAAATAATGAAAAGAAAAAAAATGTGCTGAATCCTGTCATACTAGTCGATGTATATAGCGTGCTTGTCGACCACTGGGATTAGGTTAGCGGTTTAATGTGTTCTTTAATCATTGTAATTTTATTTTTTTCGTATTCCTTGTCCATTTGAATTTTATTGTTATACAAGATTAGACTGTTGTCATAGTACTATTGATAATCTTTTGATACATGTTAATAATCAATGAAAACATATTATAGATTGTCCTTCGCAAACTTGACTTATATTTTGATAAAAGTATGAGTTTCATTAAGTCACTGTTAATTATTTAGACCATCAACAATTATTAGACAAGGTTAAAGAAATCCTGTTTATGGTTCGTGTTGATTCATTTGTTAAACTAGACAAAGATAACGCACCCGTTGGCTTTAGAAACAGTAAGGGAGCTACCATTTGATTTTTATGGGGGGCTAGGATGAAAAATTTTGTCCTGCATTTTTTTTTAGTTGTAATCTCTGTCCTGCATTTTTATTTTTCACTCTATTCGGTCCTGCCTTTTTTTAATTAGTTTATCCTGACTTTTTTTACATAAATTGTCATCCTGCCTTTTTTTTTTGCCAAGTTGCTCATCCTGACTTTTTTTTTTTTACTCAAAACTCCTGTCCTGCCTTTTTTTTTCAAATTTCATCCTAGCCCCCCACCCCCATAAAAATCAAATGGTAGCTCCCTAATGTTGAAGGACAACTTAAGATGTTGATTTCTTTTCATGCACATTTGATACTCCTGCAATGATTGTGATTTAATACATTAAGAAAATTAAAATCCATATAATATGTTCTATGATGCTTTAATATGAAAGTTCTAGTTTGAAAACTATTGGAGGAGGTAGCCAGACAAACCATGTACCATGCATATCTCATTATTAAAATTAAATGAGTTCAACAACCCATCATTTGTGTAAAATTTAAAAAGAAAATCAAAATTCTGACACTATGCACACCTTTAGCATATGTACTAACACTCTACATAATTTGATTTTTTTCCTTTGAACTGTAGGAGGGGTAAGCTGAAAAAAAACATAAACCTTATGTGGGACAGACGGACAGATACGGATAAACAATGTTCCGCGACATTTTTGCCACGGGAGCATAAAAAGAGGTGAAATTTACCAAATGCACATTCAAAATTCATCAGTCGAAGAGAAACCAACAAGTATTCTTTGATTATTCTTAAAATCGACAACTTTTAGACACTGGACTACTAGTTTTATAATATGACAGATAAACAAGTTTATTGTATACTAAATACATTTTATATAAAATATAGTATAAATAAAGGCATATGTAACAGAATATTATTTCTTCTGTTCTTGCTTTGATAGACATATTTTATTCCCATTGTAGACTACTACGTTTCGCTTAAACAGGTTGACTGAAAAGTACCACATGACAAACAGAATAAACTCGCATAGCTCAATCACTGTTAAAATGCTAGCACCAAGGAATAATCCCATCTGTCCTCCAACATTGGCTGAAAAAAAACGGAATAGATTAACATGCGGTGTAAATCAACATGGTTAACCCCGTCATATTCTGCATGTTCCTGCCCCAAGTCAAGAGCCTGTAATTCAGTGGTTGTCGTTTATTGCTGTCTGTGATATTTGTTTTTCGTGTATTGTTTTATCATAAACCGGGCTGTTAGTTTTCTCGTTTGAATTGCTTCACATTTTGTCATCTCGGGGCCTTTTATCGCTTACTGAACGGTATGAGTTTGCTCGTCGTTGAAGGCTGTACGGTGACATTTTAGCTGTTTTATCTACGTCACTTTGTCTCTGGTGGATAGTTGTCTCATTGGCAATCACACCACATCTTTTGTTTTATATTGATTATTGAAAAGTATTCCTGCGAAAAAAGGAACTGATACTATAAATACATAAAATAGAATAAATGCGTTTTTATTTAAGTGTGACCACTGTCAAACAAGTTTGCAGTATTGGTGCAAATATGAGATCGTTGGATCCTCGTAGTTTCTTTAAATTGTTTGATTGATAAAGAGATGGTTAACGTTTAGCGGTAAATACTTCATACGCTCGGTGTTCATGGCACATCTTTGATAGTCCCTGTTAAATTCATTTACAACTTCTTTTTTTTTATAAACATTGGGAGATTTAGAGCTTCACATGTAATATATACAGACACATGTCCATTGAAGACCGTATGTTGACCTCAGAAGTCTTTTAATTTTTTTGTGTCGATGGGTTTCTTTTACAACGACATATGCCCATCACCACCTTTAATTCTTGCCAGGACAATAACAGTCGAGGTAAGCAAGCTACCGAGAGACCATTAAGACCGTTAGCAGTTTCGTCAGAGAATATCTACACAATAATTTTCGAAAATTACAGAACAAAAATTTGAAATACACTGAAACACTTACAAAAAACATCTCCAGCATTTTCGTATTTAGGTTTCTGTTCAGTGATTGTCGTCTGCAAATCTTTATAATATAATCTAAGACTTACGTAATTTTTTCTGAAAAAAATAGATGTTATTGATTTGCTTGATAAAGATACAAATAAAAAGGCTTTTTTTCGCATTTTTTTTTTTTTTTTTATATAAAATAAAATTTTCCATAAACATTATTTTTCAGTTTAAAGTTGAAAATAGGAATTATAACTCCGAAGAATGCACTCTTAAACTTTCAAATGCTTAGCGATCTCAAACAGAGTGTGTGAAAACCAAATGGAGCAACATAGCACAAAAAAATCATTTGGTTTCGTATTTTTTGTTTCAAACATAAATCCGAATCATCTGATTTTTAGCTCACCTGGCCCAAAAGGGCCAAGTGAGCTTTTCTCATCATTTGGCGTCCGTCGTCTGTCGTCCGTCGTCCGTCGTCGTCGTCGTCCGTTCACTTTTACAAAAATCTTCTCCTCTGAAACTACTGAGCCAAATAAAACCAAACTTGGCCTAAATCATCCTTAGGGTATCTAGTTTTAAAAATGTATCCGATGACCCGCCCATCAACCAAGATGGCCGCCATGGCTAAAAATATTACATGGGGGTAAAATGCAATTTTTGCTTATATCTCTGAAACTAAAGCATTTAGAGAAAATCTGACATGGAGTCAAAATGTTCATCAGGTCACGATCTATCTGCTCTGATATTTTCTGATGAACAGACAACCCGTTAATGGGTTGCTGCTCCTGAATTGGCAATTTTAAGGAAATTTTGCAGTTTTTGGTTATTATCTTGTATATTATAATAGATAGAGATAAACTAGTTTTAAAAATGTATCCTATGACCCCACCCATCAACCAAGATGGCCGCCATGGCTAAAAATAGAACATGGGGTAAAATGCAGTTTTTGGCTTATATCTCTGAAACTAAAGCATTTAGAGAAAATCTGACATGAAGTCAAATTGTTCATCAGGTCAAGATCTATCTGCTCTGATATTTTCTGATGAACAGACAACCCGTTAATGGGTTGCTGCTCCTGAATTGGCAATTTTAAGGAAATTTTGCAGTTTTTGGCTATTATCTTTAATATTATTATAGATAGAGATAAACTGTAAACAGCAATAATGTTTAGCAAAGTAAGATCTACAAATAAGTCAACATGACCAAAATTGTCAATTGACCCCTTAAGGAGTTATTACCTTCCTTTATGGTCAATTTTTTACAATTTTTCGTAATTTTTTAAAATAGAACATGGGGGTAAAATGCAGTTTTTGGCGTATATCTCCGAAACTAAAGTATTAAGAGCAAATCTGATGGAATAAAAATGTTCATCAGGTTAAGATCTATCTGCTCTAAAATTTTCTGACAAATCAGACAGCCCGTTGTTGGGTTGCTTCCCCTGAATTTGGTAATTTTAAGGAAATTTTGCAGGTTTTGGTTATAATCTAAAATATTATTATAGATAGAGATAAAATGTAAACAGCAATAATGTTCAGCAAAGTACGATTTACAAATAAGTCAAATGACCAAAATTGTCAATTGACCCCTTGAGGAGTTATTGACCTTTATATTCAATTTTTAACATTTTTTTAAAAACGTTTACAAAAATCTTCTGCACTTAATCTACTAGGCCAAATAGAATCAAAATAAGCCACAATTTTCAATAGGGTATCTTGATTGAATAATGTATCCGATGACCCTGCCATCTAACCAACATGGCCGCCATGATTAAAAATAGAACATCGGGGTTTACTATAGAAGTCTATGGGAAAATTGTAAAAAAAACAATTTCAAATGGTCACAACTTGAAAACTAATTTAAATAATGATAAGTAACTATTGTAAGACTACAATGGGATGGCCTGCTTTTAATTTAACTACTGGGTCAAATTAAACCAAACTTGGCCTCAATCATTATTAGGGTATCTAATACTATTTATTGTAATTTTAACCTTTATTTACATGATTTCCAAAACCACAGTAGATACAGATGAGCGACAGGCTCTTGAGAGCCTCTAGTTTAAACTATCATTGCTTTATTTTGTTTTTTTAATTTCAATATTTCGAACTAAACCGAATTCTTTATGTCTATTTGAATAATGAAATTGACCTAGTCTTGTCTTGATTTGAGATGACTTCAAAGAAATAGTCCATAGATACAATATCATGTTGCTGGTTGATACTTGGAAACCTGTTTCCTAAATGCGAAGGGGTATTAGGAATTTTGTTTTATTTGTAACCCTTTATCATGCTCAAAGTGTTTCATATTCTACAAGATTTTGTAATACTTGAAATGATTTTTATACATTATATAGCTGATAAACACTGTCTTACATGTATATAAAATATATATATGTATATTGTCGGAAAATATAAAGTTTATTTGAAAGAACTTTTCTGTTTTGAAGCGAGTAAAAAGGAATTATATATTTCCCGACAATGTTCATATATTATTTATATCCTGCAATTTAACATTGACGCTTTATATATATTTTATTCTTTACCATTGTCTTTGATGACTTAACGCTATCCGCGATGAGGACCGCAAAAAAACAATAATAATATTTATTCAGGTAAAGGCAATATATACAAATACATAATAAGTTTTAGAAACTTAGTTAAATAAAACCATAAAATATAGCAATGGTTGTGACTTTAGGTACCTCTGATGCCTTAACCTAAGGATGACCCATGAAAGCAAACAAGCTTATTTCCAATGGGGTCCTTATAGTCTTGATAATAAAGTAAATGATTTATCATTCAATTTTACAGCAATAAATAGTATCCATGAATCACAGCTTAAAACATTCGTATAAAAAGCAATCTAATAAAATATAAAATCTGCATCTGATATTGACCTGAGTTTACTCATTAGGTGTTTTTTTTTTTTTACTTCAAACTTAAATTTTATTTTTCAATTCACATGAATACCTTTAACATGATCTGGCAAAGCATTCCAGTTTTTAATACCACTAAAAAAGAAAGAAGAAGATTCTACATCTTTGACATTTGGAACATAAAAATTGTAAGCAGTTGTTCTAGTATTCCTAATCGAGGAAGTTCTTGAAAAAAACAATTTTTTATGTATTCTGGACATTTGTCGTGAAAAACATTAAATACATGATTCAGACGAAGTCGTTCCACTCTGTTAAAAACATTCAATAATCCCAATTTTTCAAATTCATTTACAGTGATTCGTTTTCTCTAAGGAAGATATAGTATAAACTTTATAAATTCATTTTGAATAACCTGAAGCTTGTAGATAAACCTTCATACCAACATGCACATGCATAATCAAGATGGCATTGTATTAATGCAGTACACAATGTTTTTTCTAGATTGTTGAGACAAACATTCTTTATATCTATATAAAAAATTAAGTCGCTGATTAGCCTCCTTTATAATAGTATCAACAACTTGTTCACCAGATAAAAAAATGTCCAGCATGATACCTAAATATTTCACATTTGATTTACCATCAATTTTAATATTATCACATTCAACAGAAAAATCTTTTTCATTAACATTTTGAAGTTTTCTCTTTGGTCCAAATTCAGTCTTTCCTAAATGTAGAGACAATTTATTATCAACAAGCCAATCTTTACATGATTTTAACATAAGTGATAGCTTTCTAGAAATGATTTTTGGATCTGAATGTGAAGAAAGAAAAGCCGTATTATCAGCATATAATAAAACCTTACAATCAGGATCAATGCTGATTTGTAAATCATTCACATATATTAAAAACAAAAGTGGCCCCAGTATACTACCTTGGGGGTACACCGCAAGTTACATCAAACACGTCAGAGTTTGTTTTGTTAATATTAACAATCTGTTTCCTGTTTGTCAAATATGAATAAAACCATTCTACAGATCTAATTCCTATCACATTAAGCTTATCACTAATACTTTGTGATCAACCGTATCAAATGCCTTCTGTAGATCGAGTAAAACCATGCCAGTATGAAACATTTTGATTTTATATGATCTGTTAAGTGTATGAGACAGCTACCGGTAGAAAATGAATTTCTAAAACCTGATTGAAATTCATACAAAATATTATTTTCTACTGAAAATGACTCTAATTGTAAACATACAGCATTTTCTAATATCTTTGAAGCAATACTTAAGATACTAACAAGGCAATAATTTTCAGGCTTTAATCGATCCCTTTCTTGAAAAGAGGTTTTATTTTAGCAAACTTTAAATCATCAGGCACAGTTGCTTCTGATATAGACATATTTATTAAAAAATTAATAGGAATCTTAATAATAGGAGCTACGTCTCTTAAAAACTTGGCTGGTATACCATCTAAACCTGTGCTTTTTTGTAATGTTTAGATTACACAACTCTTTAAATACAAAATCTTCAGAAATATGTTTAACATTAATACATTTTTATCTGTTTTTCTTATGTTATAAATTTTTTTCACAATAATAGATGCCGCTTGAAAAATCTTTTTTGGATTCGGTAGTTTTTCAACCAACTTTGCAGCAATGTTGGTAAAAAAAGTTATTAAACTGGTTGGCTATTTTAACAATACCAAAACAATTCTCTCCTTCAATGTTGAGAATGATATTGCAATCAGATTAAGTGTTTTGTTGATATCCTAGATTTTTAAATTGAAACAAGATTTTCATAGGATTTCCTTTGTTTTCGGCGTCAATGCTGTCGTTGAAATAATCAGCTTTTGCTGTCTTGCATTGATTTTGCACTAAATTACGTTATTTACTAATGCAATGATTAATAGTCTTCATTTTTTTCAGATTTTTTAAAAGTTGCTAGGTAAGAGTCTCTTTGATGAATATTGTCTAAAATCTCCTGGGTTATCCACGGTTCTGTTTTCTGTTTCACACGAATTTCTTTCTTGTCTTGTCTAATATGTCTATAAAAATGTCTTTAAACGCCAGCCATGCCACGTTGATGTTACATGAATAGAAACACTTACCCCAATCAGCTTGTGATAGTAAGGACAAAAACTCCTCTTTATCGTAGTTCTTATTTGATCTGATTTTCACATTAGTCTTTTGCTTAAACACGCACTTCTATTGTTTTATTGTGCAATAGATTAAGAAATGATAACTAAGACCAGTACCTGAATGGCATATCTTTTCTTTTGAGTAAAACTAATATGGTGAAAAATGATTTAGTCTTGTTGGTAACCCTTGTTGATTCTGCAATAATCTGCTTTAAACCGAACAAATTGATAACTTTGATGTATGCCTGGTACAGACCATTATTTTTTTACCCTGGATCAGATGTTAAAATCTCTCATTATAATTATCTCACAATCAACTCTTAACTGACAGAGAATGAACTCTAGGCGTTCAGTTAAATTTGATTGCTTAGGGAGTCGATAACATGTTCCAACAATAATGGGTTTTGTTTTTGGCAGAAGTAGTTCTAGCAACAAAATTTCGTCTAAATCAGAAACATCTTGGAGCTGTATTTGAGTAAAAGCTAGGTCTTCTCTGATGTATTTACATACACCACCTCCATGGCGATTACGATCCTTTCGCACAAGTGAATAGCCGTTAATATTAACCTCTGTATTTGAGACTAATTGGTCTAACCATGTTTTAGTAATGGCTATTATCGCACCTCTGGTCTCGTTTGCAATTATCTGAAGCTCGTGTATTTTTGTCTCTCCTTGACGGAATCAAAAAGCGAGACATAGGTATGCTGTTTCCGGTGTCGGCGGCGGCGTCAACAATGTATTAGTTTGTGATTATGTTTAGTTTATGGTGAACCACTAGTAGTAGGTCAATGATATTTGGTATGCAGTTGTATTAGCACTGGCACATCTCATTTCCATGGAGATTATTTAGCCCTGCCTCCTCAGTCATGGTCTATTGACTTTGAAACTTTTGTTTAGTTTACATTATTAGTTTGTGATTAGGTCAGTTTATGGGGAACCACTAGTGGTAGGTCAATGATATTTGGTATGAAGTTGTATAAGCATTGGCATATCTTATTTCCATGGAGATTATTTGGCACCGCCATCTCAGTCATGGTCTACTGACTTTGAAACTTTTGCTTAGTTTACATGTATTAGTTTGTGATTAGGTCAGTTCAAGGGGAACCATTAGTGGTAGGCCAATGTTAGTCGGTATGCAGTTGTATAAGCATTAGCACATCTAATTTCCATGTTGTATACAACTGCATACCAACACCAATTTACATGTCCACGGCTGTTATTCGGTATATCGAGAAAAAGGATCGTGAAGAAAATCTTATCGAGAAAACACATGCAAAGTCAATAAATTAATAATCTAATTTAATCAATAATAATGACAAATATTGGAAAAATAAAACTGTCCGTCAAAATGGTTCAACATTATGATCAGTATTCAAGAAAAATCAAGGCTTAAAAGTACACAGATTTTACAAAACTACAAAAGGCAGATTGCTCATCGAAATTACAGAGAAATAAAAATGTAAATAAACATGATTTTTTTTCAAATTTTTAATGCATAAAGTACTATTTTCTTACAAATATCGTTCAATATTACTGTTTTGAATAGTTCTTAAACTTATTTTGATTTAGTTTAATCAAAAACTTTGCAAAAATAGTAATATTTGTAAAAATTTGATATTTCGGATCGTGAAAGATCGGGTACCGCATTTTGAGGATCGTGAAAAGGATCGTGAAAGATCTGTTGCTACTTATTCGTTATTACAAATTGGGCGGGCAACCTAAACAGACATACTTGGTTAACGTGGCCATATCTGGGATCCAACAGCCAAAACTGTGTTAACATACATCACAGACATATAACACAACTGAATTTAACGTATAAACACACTTACAATTAAATCAAACAAAGACGCCCACAAAAAATTTTTGTAGTTGATAATACAGTCAGTATAGTAAAGCATAATTACGGATTCCCTTAAGTGCCATGTAAATAAAAATATTTTCGTTTGCCGGATATTTAATCAGGCGCGCACTAGTTTGAAACATCGTGCGCATGACTTTTTAGATCGTGCACACGACTTTCAAACTTGTGCGCATGATTTTCAAACTGGCGTGCACAACTTCAAACACGTGCTCACGACTTTCAAAAATGGTGCGGGGGCGCACGACTTTCAAAATGGTGCACATGACTTTAAAGAACTTGTGCCCACGACTTTCAAGAACTGGTGTGCACGACTTTGAAACTCGTGCACACCAGTTTGAAAGTCGTGAGTACCAGTTTGAAAGTCATGCGCACCAGGTTGAAAGTCGTGCGCGCCAGTTTGAAAGTCGAGCGCACCAGTTTTTGAAAGTTGTGCGCACCAGTTTTTAAATGTTGTGCGCACGAGATTAAAAGTCGTGCACACGAGATTAGATGCCGTGTGCATGAGTTTCAATGTCGTGCGCACAATTTTTCAAACTGGTGCGCACCTAAATAAATCTCCGGCAAACGAAAATATTTATATTTACATGGCACTTAAATGGCTCCGTACTGGGCTCCTTACATAATGACATATTCACTTTCCCGATAAAATACAAAATAAGTAAAAATATAGATACTATGGCATACAAAATTAAAACAACACTATAAAAACCTCATGTGTGCGAATCGTATCTCTGGTCCCACCCGCAAAAGGAACGCCAAAAGCAAAAAACCTGAAAGCTGGATGCACATATACCGAACCACGTCACGAGGCATATTAAAGACAAATAAAGATAAAACTGTAAAGTAGATAAAATGCTACACAGAGTCAGCACCTAGAATCTATAACTCAAGACCATCCTGTAATATTTGTTAAGTAGATACTGAATATTTATTTACTAGGTATTGGTACTTTCCAGTGATTTTTTTGTGTGAAAAAGGACGAGACGTTCTTTCACAAAACCCTGGCTCATTGATGTTTTACTCGGGCACTGAAAACGTGTTACAAACTATTAACAGCAGCTACAATCCTGAAAATCGTATGAGTTGAGAAATGTATACTCCATATGCGGAAAAAGTTGATCAATCGCTGCTAAGATGATGAAAATATATAATTTTAAAATTGAAATCATCTCGTTTGTTATAGACTCTGGTGTTGAGATGCCGCTGTAATCAAATTCGGGATATATGTCTAAAATTGATGCCGAAGAAGCTGTATATGTGGTGTCCGTGACTATTAATGGGACCCAATCAGAAAAGTTTGTATTGTAAATGGAAAGAACATCTTCAATACACCTGTATGTAAAATTTAATGAGATAGCTCCTTTGATCTAACCCTTACGACAACCAAAACTTACACATTAAAATATTTCCAGGGGTAGACCATCAGACCCCTCTCGTTTCACTCATTCGTGGATGCATTTAGCATTATACATACAAAGATATTTACTTTTCGACAATTTACGCTCCTGGAGGTCTTATTATCTTGGATGCCTAGTTACATGTAGCATAATTGCCTCATAAATGAAAACAGGTCTAAATATATATCACAAAAAAATGAAAGCATTAATGAACGTTCTTATTAAGTAATTACACTCTTCAACCAATTACAAGTATATCAATTGGTAAAAGAAATGTGGTTTTCTGATCATTAAGTCTGGTGACGCCTTGTCCTTCACGATCAAAATAATGCGTTGGATGATCTTTCATGATCAATTTTGATTAAAATTCCACAAAATTATACTTTTCCAAAAGTAATATGAACTTTTTCAAGTCATTACATACTAGTACTTTCATTTTACTGGACTATCTGACACAATCAAGATTAAGTTTCAAATATATCATGATATATCGGAATTTGACCATTATAGATAAAAAAAAAAACGCGATTTTTCTTAATGATTCTCATGTGTCATTCCCGTGTGTCGCCTTTTGTGTTTTCTTAAAGAGTACTGCAATTTTTCTTCAACTTAGTGCACAGTATTATCAAGGAAGTTGAATCATTTTTACAGACATAATTTTTTTTTCTGATTTGTTCCACCTATTGAAAATACATCAGATTTTTCACAGATTTTGAAGTAAGAATTGAGACTAGTCGTTTTCTGAATGTACCTGTAATGGATCGTTTATGCAAAGTGTGTGATCAATGTATTGAGGACGAGTTCGACTTTATTCTTGTGTGTTCGGCATATAGAGACTTGCGGGTAAAGTTTATAAAACAATACTACTGGTATATATCGAGCGTATTTAAACTGATACAGTTGTTTATATATACTCTACAAAATGTTAAGCAGTTGCCTTTTTTGGGAAAATTTATTATCCTGGCTTTTAAAATCAAGGACAGTATTTTACAAAAATAATTAACATTCTTGGTCTACATGTTTTATTGCAATTATAACTTGTTGTTTCTTGTTTACACCGATGAGCTGTAAAGCTTAAGGTAATAAAGTATATATATTGGTTTGAAGTAGAATTACACTTAATTGCATTTACGATCCGATACCAGATCTTTCACGATTCGATCGCAATGCTTGACCACCGTTAGTTATTCTTTCACGATCATTTTCTCGATATACCGAATGACACCCGTGATGTATAATATTTCGAAAGAAAGTTGTCAATCTAAATTTATGGAATGCAGCCCTTAAGAAAGATACGTGACATAACTGTATGTTGGACACTAGTTTTCTGGAACAAAAAAATGAATTCCATTGTAAATCTTGAAGCTTCAAAATTTAAGATTCCATACAAATATTTTTATCACAGACAAAATCACCAAAATTCATACATACTTGATATGTTCCTCTGTCTCGTTCAGTACTTTTACAAGCGATTTTGACATAAAGTCAGACGGAAATTTCCCAAATGACAATTTTGTATCATAAGCTGTATATTGACAGGAAATAGGACAGATACATGTCTGACCTGTCTGCAGAATCTCCCCTGAAATGTAAACGAACAAAAAAATGTCTGACCTGTCTGCAGAATCTCCCCTAAAATGTAAACGGACAAATACAAGTCATATCCGTCTGTAGTATCTCCCCTGAAATGTAAACGGACAAATACAAGTCATACCCGTCTGCAGAATCTCCCCTGAAATGTAAACGGACAAATACATGTCTGACCTATCTGTAAAATCTCCCCTGAAATGTAAACGAACAAAAAATGTCTGACCTGTCTGCAGAATCTCCCCTAAAATCTAAACGGACAAATACAAGTCATACCCGTCTGCAGAATCTCCCCTGAAATGTAAACGGACAAATACATGTCTGACCTGTCTGTAGAATCTCCTCTGAAATGTAAACGGACAAATACATGTCTGACCTGTCTGTAGAATCTCACTTGAAATGTAAACGGACAAATGCATGTCTGACCTGTCTGCAGAATCGTCCTTGAAATGTAAACGGACAAATACATGTCTGACCTGTCTGTAGAATCTCCCCTGAAATGTAAACGGACAAATACATGTCTGACCTGTTTGCAGAATCTCCCCTGAAATGTAAACGGACAAATACATGTCTGACCTGTTTGCAGAATCTCCCCTGAAATGTAAACGGACAAATACATGTCTGACCTGTCTGTAGAATCTCCCTTGAAATGTAAACGGACAAATACATGTCTGACGTGTGTGCAGAATCGTCCTAAAATGTATTATGTCTGTTATGTAAAAGATAAAAATGCATGCTATACAGATTGCAATCTTTCTTTGTATAATATGAAAAAAAGAATGTTAATTAAGCATTTTTGTTAATCATTTACACATAACATGGAAGTATTATACTGACTTCCATGCTGATACACACTAAACACGTACATAAATTTGCCAGGTATCTTTACAATATAATGGACAAAATGTAGCATTTTTTACTACTTTACTTCTTCAGCACAAAACATACCTCCCACAACTATCAATAGCGTGACGTTGATTCCTTACAACGCTTGCCCCCTTTTTTCAAACAAAAAAGGTACGAGCCAAGTGCATATCTTTAAGCTTGTAAATCTATAGAGATATACTTAAAATCAGTGTAGAAAAAAACACAAACATATAACACTAGTACACGGAAAACAATGCCAAAATCATACCGTATAACGAATGTTCGAAAGTACTGTAAATCAAACTCAAAGTATCCGCTGTTATTGACATCATGATATCCTATACTAAAATTTTGGCGACTGTACTTCGAAATAGGTTTCATACATCAGAGGCTTCTCAAGCTCTGCTATACCGATAGTTAATTTGCTTGGTATTACATTGTCATAGTTCAATTAGAAAGTTTTTCATGTGCAGCTGTTAAATTTCAATATTAGGAAGTACACGCGTCTTTGAATGTAGCTTTTTTTTTAGGTTCAGTAAGATTTACAGAACAAAATCATATTGTCTTTATTGTTGTGTTGTTATCTGTTTTGAATTAATTTAATGATATGCATAAGTGTACATAATTGGCATTATTATATTGTAAGCATTTTTGACAAAATGGTATAGATAAAGGTGAGGAAACAATACGATGTGTACGTTAAAATAATCTTTGCACTATCGTCTCACTTGCACTGATAAGTATAAACCATGGAAAAACATTATTCCTCACAGAAACCATATATGCACAGTGATAGTTCGGGGTCTACATTGGTGGTGAAACTTCAATGTGTGCAAAACGTATCAAATGAAATCATATACTTGTAACGGAGAGATAAGGAAGCAGACATTCGCATCCGCAGGACAGAGAAATCGATAATTACTCATAATATATATAAGTAGTTTGGGAAACTCTCGCAAAGACGTTAATAACGCAAACTTTTTTCTTCTAAAACAGCTACTATCTATGTAAACTCATTGATCCCTTGAATAAACATACATGTTTTCTTAAAGGTTATCAATTTAACACCGTAGTAAGATGTTTGAATATTGTTTTTATCGGTACTAATATTGGTTTTGTGTTTGCTATACAATTAAACATACAATGAAAATCCTGTCGATACTATATACTTATGTTTTGGCATTGCACAACGTTATGCTTTTCTAAGACTGTTTATGATGTCTTTTAACTAAACCTGTTGGATATGTCCTGATTGAAACTTAGGAAAAACATGATTCCTTTATAAGTTGTAATTACATTTGAATTAGCTTTCAGTAGCTGCAAGTACTCTTATACTAGTATCGTTACTTTGTGTCTTTTGTCTTTATGTTAGTTTTTTGTGGTGTTTCATGCCAATCTGATGAATAAAGTCATTTCCAACTGTATTTTACAGTTAGTTTTTATGTTGTGCTAATTCAACTCAGAGGAAGGGGAGGTTTGAGCACACACAAACATGTTAATGCTCGGCACATCTTGTATGTGTCTTTACCAAGTCAGAAGCCTGTAATTCTTTAATTTTAATTGTTTGTCGTTGATTGTTACATGACTGATAAATTAGTTTTTTCGTTTTTTGTTCTGTCCTTAATAATGTTTTTTTAGTACATTTCTTCCTACGACTTCTAAGGCATGTACTTTTTCGCAAATGTATAATAATATAGGATCCATTTGTCTTCAGATAACCTTTGTATTGAACTTTACGTTATGTTGACTCTGTTAGAAATGAAAGAAATTGTATTTTTTGTGATTTAAGTGTGATAGAGGATGAATTTAATTTCATCCTACAATGTAGCAGATATACTGATTTGCGTAAAGATATATCAAGAAATATAACTGGTCTAGGCCATCAACTTTTAAGTTAATAGAATTATTGTCTGGTGAAACCCAAACAACTTTGTAACTTAGGAAAATATATACATTTCTCTTTTAAATTAAGAAACAGTTTATTGTAAAGATATTTTGTAAATATGAAACTTTTGACGTCACCTATTGTTATCTATACATATTGTTAATATTGTTTGTAATATTCCATATATATATATTTATCATATACCCATAGAAAATAATAGTATAATTGCACCCCATGATAAAACTTATTTGTACATATATTTATTCATTAAATTTGAAGAATTGCCTTAGCCGTGTGATATGACTTTTGTTATCAACTGCTCCCGGTTTATATCAACTGCTTCCGTTTCATATCAACTGCTTCCGGTTATTATCGCATGCTTTTCTGTAACGTTATCGCACGACAGTTCGACGTCATTCGGCAAATTCCGGAAAATGTACCTCAATGGTACGTTTTTTTTAGTAAAACATAACAAAGTTGGAGAAAAAGAAAATATTAATAATGAGGAAAATATATTCTTAAAAATACAAAACAAATATTACAACAAATGCATTGTTTCAAAGTTTTAAAAATAGTTTTGTCTGTATGTCTTCTGCTGAAGTATATGATAAAAAGAACATAACATGTCGTTTTTCATATCAGACCCCTTATCAGCCCATGGTCAAAATCATTCCTCGAGCCTGTCGGCTCTCGGGCTGATAACATGACCTAGGGCTGATAAGGGGTCTGATATGAAAAAGGTCATGTTATAATCTATATATATACGGTTTTTGAGTACACTGATTAGCCGTAAGTTTTGAATGATTGTGGTGTTAAAAAGAAGCTTAGGACTAGGATATATATCATAAAACTTGTTTGTCATTAGAAAATATTGACAAAAATCCCAATTTGCATAACATTTGACAATTTTTCCGCTTTCCTATTTTCTGAGATTTCATGATAAAAAATTAGTTTTTGACTCAATATAGTTATTTCTGGTAATGAAATTTTGTCAGTTTCCATATAAAATTGTGTTTGATATGTTTAAAATAGAGTAACATTTGATAATTTTTTCCCGGTTTCCTATTATCGGAGATTTTATGATAAATTCGTAGTTTTTCCTCAAAATACTTCTGTCTGGTAATAAAACTTTGTCAGTTTTCGTAAACAATTTTGTTTGTTATGTTTTAAAATTTTTCGGTTTCCTATTTTCGGAGATTTTATGATAAATTTTAGTTTTCGCCTCAAAATACTAATTTGTGATCATAAAAATTTGTCAGTTCCTAGAAATGTTTTTGATGTTTCAAAAAGAGTTGGTATCTAGTTTTCATTTATTCTTGATAACAAAGCCTAGACACGGGGTCTGCATTTAGATCAGATTGACACTACTAACCGTGTATTGAAATAAACCACGCCTACGCATAGTAAGCTATTCCATACTATAATACATTAGACTTGAACACTTTAAAATTATTTATGTTATATATGAATAGATTGTTTTGCTTTTATACCTTAAAACCTTAGAATATATCTTTTCCCTGCGTTTTTCTATGTTTATTGTGAATTATTTTATTTTGTCACACATCTTTTACGACTTTACGATGTATATGACAATGAACTATTTGATGGTATGTTAACTTAATAATTATTACCATGAGCCTTTGTACCAGATATGCCTGACTGGTGTTCCAACACGTTAACTCACAAGATCGCAATGGACAAGAAGACTTGTAACCTCCAATAGGACACAGTGTTTTCTTACTAGAAGCAGACCATACTTTGCTTTACTCTAAACAATGATGTAACAAATACAACATTTAAAGTCTTTGGATTGACTTGGCTGAGAATCAAATAGCAACCTCCCGTACTTGAGGTGTGCACACCACCACTATCTCAATCAATCAAATGCTTTGTGAATGAGCTCCCAGATATTTTTTCTCTATATAAAGTCCCGAAATTAACCAAATAGAGGTTACACCTGAACTCTATAGAAATGTAACAAAAGCGGATACTCGATATAGGTTCAATAATTAACAAACGAATTTTCTTTACATTTTGTTTATTTCTGTTCATTTTTTTTTATGTTTCCTGTAATCTGTTGCCACTTCAAGTTGACAATCGCGTCAGATATTATGGTTGCCTCTTTATGATTTAGTTTGTTTATGCACATTAAATAACTTACAAAATCGAATTTTCATCATATTGGTAATTTCTGTTATATTAAATCAACTGTAAAGCCGTCAGTCTATTTTGAAAAACTTTATGGTGTAGATCCTGTCAATGCTTATACTTTGGCATTGAACAAGGTCATAGTTGTTATTGGCTTTCAACTAGTTGGAACATCAGTGTCTACAAATAATCTCAGATCGGCACTTTAAGTCTAGTTTTTATTTTAGTCGTTTTTTGTGCTTTGTATCGAATAGATTAGTCAAGGCCTTTTCTACTGATTTTTACAGGTTGTACTGTTACAACACTGTCCCAGGTTTAGGGAGGGTTGTGCGCCCGCAGACATGTTTAACATTTTGTATGTGATTGTCCCAAGTCAGGAACCTGTTATTATGTTATTGTTGTTAGTTGCTTTAAATCATATTTATAAAAACAAGAAGATGTGGTATGATTTCCAATAAGACAACTATCCACCAAAGTTCAAATGAAGTGGATGTAAGCAGTTGTTTGTTGTGTATTGATTTACACAATACATAAAATAAGATGTTGGTTTATTCGTTTGATTTACTATTATTCGTTTGGTTTATACATAAAATAAGCTGTTGGTTTATTCGTTTGATTTAATAAGTGTAGTATTTTTCATTTGTCATGTCAGGTCTTTTATAGCTTGTTATACGGTATGGGTTTTTGCTCATTGCTGAAGCCCTTACATCAACGTCATTTTGTCTCTTGTGGAAAGCTGTCTTATTTGCAAACATACCACATCTTATTATTATTATATAGAAACACATGTATTTTCCAAGACCGTTTGTTGGGTGACAGATGTCTATTTAAGGTGAACTTGCATTGTTGAATTACTGTCTCTGACGATTACCAACCATCTGGCTGGACTCATAGAATGTCAATTGGGTTGACCAAGATGCAAGTACAGTGTGATTATATCAAATACGATTATTATACCATACTGAGACATCGGATGTCTAATGTCTGATGTGACATCGATCATACAATGTAAAACGCATACAATGTATAAGTTGGTGGTACTTGATAATACAGAGCCGAAAAATTTTCCGTGAATAGAATACCTGAATTACACCAATGAAGGTACAGTACAATTAAAACCAATGGCAATTAAACGTTGCGTTGTTGACAGGCTAACTACTTACACACACCCTTTATTAGAAGGTAAGTTATAAAATCAAATGAAAACAAGGGATACAAGGTGCCTTGTATACTTTTTGGTAGTGGGAAGTTCTGAAGTAAGTTTTTGTAGATTCGCGAATGTATTGTGGGATTATACATGTCAGTTTTATTACTCATGTAATTTTATTTCGTTTGTAACTTACAATAAGCTGGACGAAAACACTCTGCATATCTTTCTTTTGAGCAATACTTTCCTGTAGCTGAAAAACAGTGAAAAAATCTTAACAATTAAAACGTTTTTTGACAATCGGATGTGCTGCAGTCGTGTTTAAATCGATGATTCTTGTTTTTTTCTAATTTTCATTCAAATCACAAGTAGGTAACTAATGATAAAAGTCATTTTTTAACGCTCAATTGTTTTGAATATCCAAGTGGACAGTATTTGTTAAATGGAAGTAGAACTATACAAAGCATGACGAAATTGCAAACAAATCAAACCCTACGAAAAATTTATTAACAAGAAAAACGAATTATCAAGTAGTAAAAATTTGCTTTAGTATCGCTTTCAAAGATCCACATCTGAATAACAAAACAACGCTGCTTAAGTAAAATCTTTCACGTTATCTTTAAAGAACGATTTAAATGCTGATGTTTATTATTTGGACAGAGGTTTTAATAGATTGGACGTATTCTACATTACTTACGACTTTCGAACATAAAATCAACACAGCCACATTTCTGCATGATTGAATCTCGTATACAGTCATGTCTGCATTTAGATGCACTATAATGGGATGCACTCTCTTCACAGATGTCATTCTCAAAAGCTTTGTATGGTGGTGCTAAGTATTTATACTGCACAATAAATAATAGTAGAAAACAATGAGATAAATTTCAAACTTTCATTATGGATTTATTTAAATTTTGGATCAGTATTGCACTGTGGATTGTAAAAACTTCGGAGACTAATTCAACGTGAAAATTGGACACTGAAGCTGGACAAAGTATATCTATTTAATATTATTAATAAGTCTAAATTGAAAACAACGTTCAAACCTATGATTGCGTTGGAAAAAAATCGTGTGCATGCAAAACAAATTTCTTGGTAGAGGAGTCTAAATACAGCACAAACAACATTTTCCTAAAGACCAAAAAAGTGAAAAAGTATATTTACACAAAACGCATTTGACTAACAGGTCGAACAACGGATGTTCTTAAACCCTGCTGACTGCCATTGGCGATTGCCAAATAAACGGATCACAAGATGTAACAAAATGGATCTTTATTATTAATTTGATACCAAACAGAAAACAATAAGCTTGCGGAAAAGATGGTATACCGCAATTATGAGGTGCAAAAATTTGTACACCATATCCGGATTTCGACAATTAATGTCTCTTCAGTGATGTTAGGAATCGAAACGGTATTTGGAAGGCCATATAATTTACCTCAATTTAGGATAGAATCTTGAATTTTGAAGAGTCGAAATAGGATGAAAGGATCATATAAACCCGAAGGCAAATATAATACAAGCCAAAACGAAAAAATATAAATAAGTCTAAATTGAAAACAACGTTCAAACCTATGATTGCGTTGGATAAAAACCGCAATTTTTATACGTGTGCATGCAATATTAATTATTCACATATATTGCTCATTTGAATTTTTTCTGTAAATTAACATTGACTAGTTGCATCTTTTGTAACAGATTTTTCTGATGGACATTGAAATAGAAATTTATTGTTTTTAGTAAGCTATAAAAAGAAAATTATATAAAAAGTTAATTTTTACAAATAAAGGTTAACGTCCTGCTCATTCATAAAATATACTTACCATAGATGGATTCGTTTTTTTAAGGTCTAATATGGTCCTATAGCTCGTCACGTGTTTCGATACTTATACTTCCTTGGCTTTCACATATTTGGCTTTGAGCGTTCCTGGTGAAAGTATATCAAGAAAAGCGCTTCGGACGCTTACAAATTAAAGCCTTATTTTTATTACTAGAATTTCATTTTCGTTCTTAAGTTCAAAATGAAATTCAGTGGATATTTACAACATCTTCACAACTAAAAATTTTCAAATAAAAAGAAAAAGCGGTATTTGGCTTATTTTTTTATAATTATATCGAACTGTACAATGAGACAGATCGACATAAGCTTATGTTGTCGGTTTCTAAGTACATGATAGTTTGCTTAGTTATTAGAATTTGTTAATGTTATGAAGCACGGTTCTTTTAATAACCCTCAGAATTTTTGATGAGGAACATTCCTTCACTCGATTTGCTATTGATCTAGATGTCTACAAACCTGCTTTCTAGTAATTTCTACTGTGGCTTCAGATGCTGGTGGGACAAGTAAACCGTCATTTACCATAAGTACAGCGTCGTTTTGGTCGTGCACAACAACCTGCTCAAGTAGTAAATCAGAGATGCACTTTCGTTGGTAGATATGTAACATATTTAAACCGGATAAGTTAAATTTGAGGGACAGAGTGTATTAAAACTTCACCAATTTAGTGATATGCCAAAAAGAGGGTTGAGATCTTGTCACTTGTCTCGTGGGTCTGACGAATATATAAACAGGAACAGGTGTTTTCTTATGTTAAAGTAAGTCACACTGACAGGTTTGAATTATAATTGGTGGGGTTCGTGATCCTCATCCTTTAGTTTTCTATGCTGTGTTCTGTAGACTGAAGTTTGTCTTTTCGTCGTTTTTTCGTTGTTTTTGCAATGGCGTTGTCAGATTTTTTTAATATCCCTGTGAGTATCTTCCATCCCTATTTTCAAACCAGAAAGGTTTTCTGATTGTTCAGAGGTCACTAACTTCGAGAATCTGCTATTAAAAGAAGCTTTCATAAAAATGCTTACGACTTCGTAAGATATATGATGAAATATGTTCCCGTAAAAGTTAAGGATAGTTTTAATTCAAAAAGTAAATCTCCCGTAAAATTTAAGCGTGGTACTAAATCAAACAGGCTCGAGGAACATTATCATATGTTAACTTTGATCAAAGATATATAATTGAACAAGGACAGATAACAACCCTTTGTTTAATTATTTACCAAGTTATGATAAAGATAGATCGTAAGCTCCTTTTTATGGGTTGTATATTTTTTAGTTCGATTTGCGCATATTTACAATGGCGTGTCTGTTTTCAATGAACGCAATATTTTCATTACCGAATATCTTTTATAATAGGGATATATAGATATCATTAATTGGTATACACTTTTACTGAATTGTATTGCTAAAATAGTGAACTCAATTAGCAATGCATAAACATTAACAGCGTGGATAGACACACATTTTTGTAATATGCAGAATAAATTTGTGCAGACTAAAGCTTATATCTAATTGATGTTTATTAAAAAAAAAACCAGACTAAATGACTGAACAACGTCATTTATATGTAGTAACCACACATTGAACCACACATTGAACCACACATTGTCTAAGTAAGAAAACAATGAATGTTGCTAAAATAGGTAGAAAAGTAAAGCCTGCCTAAATTTTTTAGCCATTTTCATAACGTAGGACAGGTTTTCGAGAAATAAAAATTGAAGACTTAAGTGTTGAAATTTTGTTGGGATATTTATGCGTATTCTTTACGTTGTACTTTTATTTTCTGTTATTCAATATGCTATACCTCGAAATGTAAACGATTACATATATATATTTTTTCAACATTCAAATGCAGTTGTTCATGCTTTTGTGAATGGACAATTGTATAAATATTCGAATATTAAAAGTAAAAACACTTGTTACTTATAGACAAACAGAAAGCTTTAAAGGATAATTCTTTATCTTGTAGCTCTTTAATTTTTGAACAAGATTTGGTTTTTCAAATCTTTTGGCATCGAGTGTCACTGAAAAGATAATTATGGTAGAAATGCGCACCTGGTGCAGTTGAATTGGTACCGTGTATGTTATTACGAATATATTGAATACAACCATGAAGATATCGATGTGAAATAACTCTTTTTATTGAATTCCTTTCAGATGAAATTATACTTTGAAGTACATTCCCTAATTTCAGAGTGTTGGATGGTTTAATTTTGTACCAACAGATTAATACATATAGCATACTTACACTATCTGCAAGAATTCTTAGTAACGGTAATGCATGTTTATTAGTGTTGTGCAACTACGTGTTATTTTTTAATCTCTGTATATGCCGGTACGATAGAGTTAAGTGCTTTTGTTGCATTGACTTTTTGTGTATCTTTATTATTTCAGTAATAAAGGCTTGAAAAAAAAACACGGGAGGATTGAGATTGCACAAACTAGTTTAACCCCGGAACATTCCATGTGCCTGTCACATGATAGACACATTGGGCTAATACGGTAATTTTGTCAACCGTGAGAGCCCTATACAGTTGTCAGACCGCCAATTCAAAATCCCTATCTATTCAACCATTTGTTTTTTCAATTTTCACAGCTTTCTAAATATTTTACCTTAAGTTTAACTTCATAGAAACTAGGTATATCCTGAATTGTACATGTATCACTTTTATACATGCCAATTTTCAACCAGTGTTAAAGTCTTGTACTGAAATACCACCGCTCGGAAGGCAACTACTATTAAAAATAACCCCTGGTTTTTAAATAAGCATACTCTGGAGCGCATTAATCCTCATTTTTTTATGCAAACTGATGGACAAATAAATGTTAGCTCAAAATGGTCTAAATATAATTCTCTTTCACCAAAAGTTTCATTTCTGCAAATTTGTTGGTAAGTTTAAGTAAACTTATTCGTTTATTTTTAGTATGTTTACTTGTTTTTGTTTAAATGTCTTTTTGATCGAGTTAAACCATTTTGATATTTTATAGTGTGTCTTTTTATGTTGTAATGTTACATTACTGTCTCAGATTAGGGTAAAGGATGGCGCCTGTTAAAACGTTTAAACCCGCTGCATTTTTATGCACCTGTCCTAAGTCAGAAGCCTGTTGTTCAGTGGTTGTCGTTTGTTGGTGTGGTTCATAAGTGTTTCTCGTTTCTCGTTTTTTATATAGATTAGACCGTCGGTTTTCCTGTTTGAATTGTTTTACACTAGTCATTTTTGGGCCCTTTATAGCTTGCTGTTCGGTGTGAGCCAAGGCTCCGTGTTGAAGGCCGTACTTTGACCTATAATTGTTAACTTTTTATACATTGTGACTTGGATGGAGAGTTGTCTCATTGGCACTCATACAATATTTTCTTATTTATAATGACATCAAAAGCGCTACTTTTGCCAAGGAAGGGCTACTTTTACATATTGTGACGAATTTGTTTGGGTCGACTATGCATAATAAAACACGAAGTCATTAGTTTCTGTCCCCTTAATTATTTGAACTGAAAACAAAGAAACATTGGAATTAAATAGAGTTACAATTTGCTTAAACGTTATGATATTAACTAGGTACATTCTATTAAAGTTTCAGTAAGGTTAATCTTTGGATAACTTACATTATTTTGGATTATCTTCTACATTCCAATTCAAGTGCTTATGAATACCGGTATCTATGACTATGTTATAAACTGGCAATTGAGTTAACTTGTAGGAAGAATGCTCGGCTTGTGATTACATTGGTGTTTTTATGGTCTTCGGGTACCATAATATCTTTCTTGAGATAAGATATTATCGTTTAATTACTTGACACCACTTGTTACTATGATATGCTCTATATGTCATAGTCCAATAAAGGTGGACTCATCCAGAGTTGAAACACCTTTGTTACTAGGCAGTACAGGTTATGGTATTGCCCCATAGTGGTATATTCCAATCCACTCATCCAGGGGTATATAAGCCACCGTCAGCAGTCAGTCAGGATCGGTATTCCGATCAGATCACACGTATAAGTGATAAGATAAATACCTGCTTTAATATTGTTCCAAGTATTGAATTGACTGCTCAAGTCTTTCCAATAACTGGAACATAGCAGAAGAATTATTTTAAGGTGTTAGTGAACTGCATCGAGAAAAGCAGACTAGCCATTGAGCTAAGAGAGCTTCTTTAATTAAGATACAGATATAACGGAAAGAGCAACAATATTGCGAGCCTGTTGAGCTAACTATTTGAGTTAGAAATATTGTGAGCCAGTTGAGCTATAGCGCTAGTGAGTCTGTTGAGCTAGGAGCTACGGAGCTTATTGTCACTTGCTATTTATTTGACCTATAGAGTCAGTAAGCCAGTTGGACTGAATATTTATTTAAGCTCGAGGAGCTTTAATGAGCCGAGAGAGTTGAAAAAGCATTGTAAACAAAAATTACTATATATACACGTCTCAGATCTCGAAAATTAACTAGGGTACGGACCCCCGACACGTTACAAAGTTTTGGTGGCAGCGATGGGATCTGAGACAACTAGTTAAATCTGAGAGAACTAATAAGATCTGGGAAAGCTACTGAGGAGTCGAAAGAACTTTACGGATCAATTTTTAATATGGTTAGCTGGATACGCTCAGTTATATTTAAGTTAATAAAATAACTGAAACACTGTTGTTGTTATTTCTTGACTAGTCGTAATGGCAAAACTATTTCCGGATAGCGATGAAATAGATGAGTTCTTTAGCAAAATGAGCGGAACAGAAAATCCCAGTCATTCTATACCTAAACTGCCATCGCGTCGCTCAACTCATGACTTTCTGTCCGGATATGCTACTGCTCGACAATCGACAGGATCTGACCTAATAGATTGGGATATTAGGAAATTAAAAGAGCAATTGGAGCAATTAGAAACATCCAAGAGCGCTACATTTGATGATAAAATTTATCACTGCAAATCAAAGGAAGTTCAATTTAAGGAACCAACGGAAGACAGATTGGATCCAAAGTTAAGTGATGATAATAAAGATTATTTACCATCAGGGGTAACTGTAAGATCAAAATCTCGTCCATCAGATACTAAGAAAAGTATTGAACCCATTATGAAGACAGGTATTCAAAACCAGAGACAAAACAACTCCACATCAGTGAAGTCAAACCTTCAACATATGATGGTACCTCATCAGGGATAGATTTTAAGTCCCATTACAGCTGACGGAGAAGAGACAAAAAGAATCAGAGAGCCTGCCGAAGATCAGACAATTTATAAGAAGATTGATAAATCAAGCTTATCCAACGGTACCAGAGGATGTATGAGATACACTTGCAAAACAATATTTTATTGAGGCTTTGGTAGACTCAGAAATTAGAATCCGTATTAGACAGTCCAGGCCTCATGGTTCAAATGATGCAATTGGAGTAGCAGTTGAACTCGACATGTATAAAAGGGGAAAAAACAAAATATAGACGGCCGTTCCTACTTAAGACAAACATCACAGACTGATGAAAAGGAGACTCATATTGACAAAAATGAAAATTCTGAATCACACTGCATTAACCCCGTTAATGTCAAAGATGGAACGATAACTGCAGGAACTACAAAA